AATACCCGCAATTCTGCAAAGTAAACGCGGTGTACATTTAAGGAAGCCATTTGTAGTGATATTGGTAGGATAAAAAGAGATGGAGCTTTTATTTAGAGTCCATGTCATGAGTCACGGTATCCAGCTTGACCGATGAAGACCAAAATAAAGCATCTTAACTCTTAGATGCTAAAAGAAAAAAAACAGGGCGGATTTGTCTTGCTAAAAAAAAAAAAAAACAATAAAGAAGGCTGTGTCAAGTGATCATCACGTGATCATAGCATTTATCAATATTATAAGACTATTAAGACGTTGGGAATTAATATAAATAAATACAATCAAATCACATTACTTACAGCACAATTTAAAGTAAGTAGTACTACTAAGTAGTAATAGTTGAAACCCTCATTTAAATTCAAAAGGTTAAAAAAACTGTTTATTACTCAAAATTCAACTATGATTATTTATTTAGAATGGTTTTTTCGTAAATATTCGAGTCAAATTTGCAGCCATTTTAAAAATAAATTCAGAATTTTCAGATGATACTTTGTGTTTCTAAACGATTACAGTCTTTAGGGCATACATAAAAATATCTATTTTATTGGCATGTGATAGGCCTTAGCTCGGAGTAGCCTACTACTGTTCATTTAGAAAATACAGTCAGTGAAGTTTTCTTTAATTGCTCTATAACAAACGATCAGTGTATCTAAATATACCTAACAAAGCCTAATTGTATTCTTCCTATCTAGAGCTTTGCCAAAATAAATACATATCTGTTTTGTTACACCGCTCTAGGTTTTGAAGGCTTTTTTCCTCGGCCGTCTAAATAAAAACAGAGATGTAATCTGGGACTCCTTGCGCGGAGTGTTTCTGTGTGATGTGAAATCATTTAATACTTCCAATAAAAAAAGTTAACACATTGTTGTGAAAGCTTTATGTCCGTGCGGTTGAATGGGAAATACACTCTGGAGATCGCTACAAATTGAACGCTCGCCTCTGTATTGTTTGCAAGTGTTGCCACCACATGGGCCGAAGCATGATGCGTTCACTGTCAAATTGTGATAGTAAAAATAAATAAGGTAAAACAAAACACAACATGCCTCCTCAGCCTTGCTTGAACCAGTTTGCAGCACTTGCAGTTGAATTTTAACTGCCCGACTTACATCCAATTAAACTTCTCTGGGCCATGAGGGGACGGTGATATGATTACACTAGGCTTCCCACATTTAGCCATGACTTCAGCTGGCTGTGCAGCACGTCTTGGTGAACTTTGTTCATGGGAGTGTGAGTGTGTGTGTGTGTGTGTGTGAGGGTGGTATCATTTGGTCAAGGATTTATAACCACAAAGGCAAAACATTGTAATATTTGAGAGTGCCATTTTTTTTCTTTCGGGGTGACACCTAGGTTAACAATTTTAATTATGGTGCTTGGTAGGCATACATAGCCTAAATTCCTCAGACGTATGTCGTTAAAGTTACTGCTCTAACTGTGATATTCAAGACGGGAACGCGAGGCAAAAGTAGTCAACAAATTATCATGACAGTTTCTTGAGCTCTACTCTTAAGATATTGCTAATCAGGAAGCCTCTTCATTGCTGTATTAAAGCAAAAGTTGCGGATAAAGTCAGCTGAGGAGAACTTTGCCTACAAATTCCTGCCACATCCCCTGCTCATTTTGGTGCAGCAATCAGACATTCCTGGGTCCTACTGCTCGCTGAGTTTGTTCTTCAGATAAACACATGCTGAAGCTTTATTTTTTGACTGATGGTCTGAGCGCGCCCAGGTGAGAAAAGTGTTTTTAAACCCTCGGAAATCGGATATTGCCAAGTAATGATCATATTCTACCACGTTATGACACAAGCGGTAACTTAAAAATAAGGGGAGTGCTTTTCCCCAGACATTTAAAAATATCATCCCCCTCTTTAACAGGCCGAGTGAAGTTGTTTCCTTTTTGCTCCTTCTTGCCTTGGAAAGAGGCCCTACATTTTGTGATCTTATATTCCTATTACATTGCTCATTCATGCCCAACATTACTTATTTATGCCACATTACGCATCATTGGAAAGATTATGATGGAGAAATGAATTGACAGTGTTGTTTTGATCCGTCTGTCTCAGAGCTTTTACCGCCTGGAGAAAAAAAAAAAAGCTTTTACTACCGATCAACAAATGCTGTTATTTATTTTATAGAAAATATCATAATCATTATTCATTTCATTGTTATATGCAGGCGAATATAGCGATTTTTTTCCGTTAAACATACCATCTGTTTAAATAATTGAGTAGTTTATTTTCTATATTATCTGCTTTGCAACAAGACGTGAATATTTTCATGAGTGACCCACTGATGTGCAAATACAAAAATGAATGAAGCAGGAGAATGTCTCACATGGTTAGCTAAAAGGCCAGAATATTTACATAAATATTTCCATAGGTGTGCACTTTATTATCTGTGCCCACGACAAATAAACAGCGACGTTCAGGGGCGCAATAAGAACATTGTTGTTTTTTTTTTGTTATGTACATTTTACTATTTGAATTAAATAGTTTGTCACAAAAAGCACCAGTCAAGACACAAAATTTAAGACTTTCAATTTAAAATCTGAGAATCCGCCAGTTTGCAAAAATAATATAAAATAAATGGAGAGTGTATTTGTTTTCTTTTTTAATGGGACGATTTGCACCCCGTTTTGTGAAATGTGGAATATCTTAGTTCGTTGAAATCCAAATTCCTCTCATTCTCCGCGTTAATAGTTTTCTATGGAACAAAGGGGATTTAGCGTTACTGCAGCCATTCGGAGTTTTATGGTTGGACGAAGAGAGAATTTTAGTGGTCAAATTCAAGTGCTGTGTCTGGACAGCTGTCTGCTTTCTTTGTACTTGGATGCAGGATGCATCATGTGAGACAACCTTTTGTTTGCTGGGGGTAGTAAACAAGCTAATGCCATTGCCACATTTTTAACAAACACGACTCCCAGTTTCCAGCGCTCAGATCTTGACCATGATATTGTTTTCTCTTTCTTTTACTGTTGGGAGGCGAAAATATGTATATTTTTTAACAGCAAATCTGATTTTTCAACATCACGTCTGTCAAGCGAGTTTAACAGAATGGCTGTGTTATTGGGTTAGGATTTAAGAGTGTGTTTAGGAAGTTCCCTGTGATCAGAAACAATGGGGCGTCGTATTAATTTCTCCTTGTAACAGTATCAGTCTATAAAGACTCGGAGATGGGGCTCAGTAGTACAATTAAAAGTCTGAAATCACACGCAGCTGCACTTTTCCCCTTCAAACATTTCATTTTATGGGATTTTTTAAAAGTGTGTCCGTATGTCAACGACTGATAAATGTCAACATATATGTGAGAAATTTAGGAAAACATCCAGTTCTTTATTTTTCTCTAATAATATGTGCCGACTGGAGAAACCTATCAGAACGATGCCTCTTTCATTATCTAATTATCTCCATTTAAATAAAAATGCACCCAAAAAATACAACAACATAAAATAATAATAATCAGAAAAAAAAAACATAAAGTGCAATAGTAATATTACTCATTTTGAGCACGATTTTGCTGTAATGTAACAAATATTTTTCGGGAAATCCAGCAGTGTCAGGTGTGTTTTTAATTTGTGCTTTTACACAAAATATAAAATATGTGTTTGTGCAACCAGATCACATTAGCCTTCAAAAATGGCAGTTGCATCTTCCGTGCTCGCAAGGGTTCCGCTGGTGTGATTTTTCCTTGCAGGATTTCCAGGGACGTTGTGTGGTGGGATAAATGCACAGTTGGCCTCCTTGAACTCTGTTAAGATCAAAGTCAAAAGGAATAATAAGACTAGTCCGATTTCTTTATCTTGCATGGTCAACGTACACTTGCGGTGCATTGCGCATTGCCTAACCACCGGTGTAACTCAGCAACACACCATTACTCTCAACAAGAACTGCAACTAACTCCAGGCACATCTGCTCTAAGAAACAAAAACAAAAACAGTCTAGAAATAAGTAAAAAATATTCTTAAATTAAGTGTATTTACCCTTAATTTGAATAGGTAAATAAGATGATTTGCCAATGGAATGAGCGTTTTTACTCTCAAAATAAGATAATCAGATAGTATGCACCTGAAATAAGAACATATAATTGCTTTTTTCTTATTTTAAAGGTAAATTGTCTTGTTCCATTGGCAAAATGTCTCACTTACCTCCTCAATTCAAGAAAAACTCCACCTATTTTAAGAAAAAACATGACTTATTTAGATTTACATTTTTTTGCAGTGTAAATAGAGTGATAGGAAAGTTAATAGGTTGACTTATATATTTTTAATGGCAAAATACTTTTTGTATAACCAAGTGCAGACACCTGTGGGGACGACTGAGATAAGTATTAAAACTCTCCTTAAAAATCTCACCATAGTAGCATAAGAGTCTAAAGAAATCAGGAAAATAGATTAAATATAATTATTATTACGTGTAAAACTATGGGACAATGAATGACCTTATATGGTTGCTGCTTAATGTGCTTTTGGGATTAACTCTATATAAAATACGTAAAAAAGTTAGACTCATATATGTCAATTGATGGTTAATAATAATAAAAATAATAATGATAATAATAATAATCTTACCTTTAATATCTCTGAAAATCTATAAAATGCCTGCCACTAACTGCACTGTTGAAATGGTGCTTTACCTTTTAAAGAAGCCCTGGCTCTTTAGCTGGCCTACTAGCCTATAAGCATAAACACACACATACACAGCTGCACATATCTCACTAATTGTCATAAGCCAGCAAGCAAGAATCTGTAACTGGTTTGCTCGGTGCGCCTGTGGCGTTTGGAAATTATGCGTTTGAACCTCCTCGATCTACCTAAAGCCAACCACTCCTACACATCCAACTCTTCCAAATTGATATATGACAATATCTACTTTCGATCACGTGTCTGCAGGGCGACTTAGACGGATTGCGCGTCATCTCGCCTTCCCAAATTTTTCCCCTTCTGCTGCAGCTCGAATCCAAAACATCTATCTATAGTGGCCGAGTTGCGAGAGAGAGAAAGATGTTTAACTCCGTGAATCTGGGTAACTTCTGCTCCCAGACGCGCAAAGACCGGACATCCGAGTTTGGGGACAGAACAGGCTGCGCGTCCAACATCTACCTCCCCAGCTGCACCTACTACGTCCCCGAGTTTTCGGCCGTCTCCTCGTTTCTTCCGCAGGCCCCTTCCCGGCAAATCAGCTACCCTTATTCCACGAATCTGTCTCAAGTGCAGCCGATGCGAGAAGTTTCGTACGGCTTGGACCCCGCTAGCAAATGGCACCACAGGAGCAACTATGCGTCGTGCTATTCGGGAGATGATCTGGTGCATAGAGACTGTCTTCCACCATCCACCATGACAGAAATGCTGATGAAGAACGAAAGCGTTTACAGCCACCACCATCACCACCATGCCCACGCGGGCTCCAATCACCCTTCCACAGGCTTTTACTCCGGCATGGGGAAAAACAACGTCCTCCCACAAGGCTTTGACCGCTTTTTCGAGACCGCATACTGCAGCAGCACGGACAATCAGACAGACAATTGTTTACAAAAGGGCGAGGGGGGCAAGCTGGAAAGCGACTCCCAACAGCAGCAGCAGCAACAACAGCAGCAGCAGCAACAAGCCACAGCCGCTGTAGCCGGAGCTCCAGAGCCGGGAAAAGACTCGGACGATGAGGAGGAACACACGAATTCAGGCTCCTGCACTTCTTCCTCCGCCACAGCTAAGGACGGCAGCACCAGCAAGAGCAGCCACTCGAGTAGGTACAATCGAAGCAGTAAAGCGGGGGGAAGGTTAAGGGGACTAACCCGGTGTTTTGTCGGTCAGATTTTATGTGGAGTTTTATAAGCATTCAAAGGATTTTATTATAACCCTACAAAGCTCTTTCTTGAAACGGGAAGAATTTTTACGATGGGAAAAGCGCTTTGAAAAAAGAAAACGTGCGGGATGTTATACACAGACGCCTGTACAATGAGAGTCTGTGATTTTTTTAAGAGAGAGCTATTGTGACAAATGTTAACTTTGATCGTGAACTTGCGATGGGCTTTTTAAGGGGATTTTCTTGATGGGGCTGTCGTGTGTAAAACCAATTGGGCAGAACATTGCATTTGGCATCCTGTGAATTATCTTTTACACAAGGTTTGCGCGCAAAAGACATGCAACAAAGAGAATTAAAGAATAATAAACACAACAATGTTTCTATCTATCTATCTATCTATCTATCTATCTATCTATCTATCTATCTATCTATCTATCTATCTATCTATCTATCTATCTATCTAT